TCACAAACAATATAAAGATAGAAGAACAGGTCATTAGATTTTTTTTGCTTGTTTGTTTGTAATTTTGATGAGATAACCAAGTGGTAATATAGTGGAGTTTCAATCTCCCTCTGACGCCATCTTTACCTCTGACTCCTGGCTGTGAGGCAGTCGTGTTCAATGTCGCTGTCACTGGAGAAAAAAACAAACACAAAAATACACACTGAACAGTACTGCGTGCATGCCATTGGAGAGCTTACTTTTTTTATTTTTGAAGAGGTAACGTCTCAGGTTACTCACATAACCTTGGTTCCCTGAGTGGAGGGAATGAGACATTACGTCATACTTGACACTACGGGGAAATGCCCCTTTCTCTTAAATGCTGAAGCTTGATTGAGTAACGCTCTTGTGCTCGCAATAATCAATAGCGCTCAAGTGCAGGAAGGCCAGCACCTATATATGGCCGGCGTTTAGCACTATTTCTTTTTGGATCTTTCTACTGAAATATATCAACAGAAATAGCCAGAAAGTTTTTACATGGCTGCTTTCACAATGTCTCGTTCACTCCTCTCAGAGAATCATGGTCATGTGAGTAACCTGAGACATTCTCTTTTGATGTCGGTCCCTTGACTCTATATAATCGTTTGCCCTGAACTCCATACAGGCAGCATTAACAGATAATGCCTGCATATCACCAACATGCTTACCGCATACCAACGTGAGTAGTAGTGTTGTTTTAAACGAGAGAATCCTTAACTTGCTTGTAAGAAGAGTTTCAAAGTGTGGGCTCGACAATGCTCTGAGCACTAAGGATAGGTCCCAAACTGGCATCAAGCGAGGACGGGGGGATTCAGCCACCTCGCACCTTACACAAAGCTGATTATCAGCACATGCTTCCCAACCGAATGCCCCTCAATACCTTTGTGAAAAGACCACTCTGACCTTTAGCATTGAGGTCAAGCTGCCTGCATCCAGTCAGTCTTGCAAAAATGACAGGATCACCGGTATGTCACAAGCACCTGGGACTTCATTCTCGGCTGTACACCAAGCTGAGAACACTCTCCATTTGAAAGCATACAAAGCTGCTCACTCTTCTCTGATTTTCTGAAGTACTAGCAGCAGAATCTTGGCTGGAGGAAAAGCTTCTTTTTTTTATTCTCGGTCCTGCTGCTTCACAGCACATCTCTCTCCACAGGAACGCTTGAGAGAGAAAAGAACAGAGGTAAGTGAAAATTGCTGTATCATATGAGGATGCAGTGTCCACTCCCCATGAACTATAGCATCTCTGGACAGCATGTCCGCTCCACAGTTCAACCTGCCCGGCACATGAACAGTTCGTATAGAAAGCAGCTGTTGGTCCACCCATAGAAGCAAACACTCAGGTTAGCTTCGACAGCATGTGTGAACACACACCTCCCTGACGATTGATGTAAGCCATCACAGCCGTGTTGTCCATTCGAATGAGAACATGATGGTCTCTCACAAACTGCAGAAAGTGCTGCAGAGCCAAGTGAACAGCCTTCATTTCCAGGTGGTTTATGTGCCACTGCTTCTGAGCTGTGGACCAATCACTGAAAACTGGTCTGCTGTTGCATAGGGTTCCCCAGCCATGCAGAGATGCATCTGTAGTGACCATCTTCTTTCTGATCACTCAGCCCACATTGATCGCTTGATCATACATTGTGCTGTCTCTCCAAGGGAGCAGCATGTCGTGACACTCACTCATCACTACGATGTGCATCCTGTCATCTTTCCACGCTCTGAATGGAACATGGTCTTTCAGCCAAAGTTGCAGCAGCCTCATTTGCAGAAATCCTAAGCGGCAAACAGAGGTTGCGGCTTTCATCAATCCTAGTAGTCTCATAGGTCTCACCATAGAGTGCGTGTCCAGCGTCGTCCAGGTAATTCATAATATGCATCCTGTTGAGTCTCAGGGGCGCAAGTGCTGCGTTCATGCACTTCGAGAACATGTAAGGGGTTAACGCCAGTCCAAATGGCAGAACTCTGAATTGATACACGACTACTTTGAATGCGAGTCTCAGAAAGTGCCTGTGACAAGGGGCTATTTGGATATGAAAATACATGTCGCCGCCTTGGAATCATAAGGTTCTATCTGCATTCTGATCGGTTTTGAGATATTGAGCTTCAAAGTTTTTGCATTCCATATAGCAAAAGTGATATGGGGAACAAGTCTTTTTTCATACATGAAAATGACAGAGACCCTAAATTCTAAATGTACGGTATCAAAATCCTCTCAAATTTGTAAATGGGGATTTTTGGAACAGGTCAAATGCAGATAGAAACTTCTAATTCTAAAAAGTCATTTTCCCCTTGGAATTATAAGGTTCTATCTTACAAATCATTAATTAAAGCAACAGTTTTCAAGAAATACAAACAGTTTACTTATAATTTGTTTTAAAACATAAAATTAATGTTGTAACAATGTGGCGACACGTATGAGAAAGATAAATTTAATGCTTTCTATGACATTTATCTCATATTTTTGGACGAACAATTTTTTTTCTTGTTCAACTAAAGCATAAACGGCAATGCAAAATATTTTGTCCAGTGCAAATGTTAATTTTAGGCAGGAATGTGGTGGGTAATTAAACACATCACTGCAGGAACAGTTTATCAGCTACTGTAATACATCTGACCAGGACTTTATTCCACAGAAAGTGGGATCTGTCTCTCTAGAGATCAGTATGGCCGAGATAACATGTTAATGTTTATTGTTGTAATTAAGACCCCATCAATTAAATTATTGACCATTTGACCTTTAAGGCTTAATAATGCAAAATGTAAGACTTTAAACTGCAAGAAAACACAATGCTTTATCAAAGTTGTTTCACAAAGTTTAACCCTTAAACGCATGAATGTTTCGCCAATCATTACATATCGGATCTATATCAACCCGGACCTATAGCCTATATAACATGGATGGATCTTTAACTGCTGCAATAGCATAAAACTCTCCTGATATTTTAATAACAATTACAAAAGAATAAAATAAAGCATATTCCATTACCTTTTTTCATTTGGAAGGGTTCAATTTGAGCAGATGATTTTACCTTTACTGTCATCGTCAGAGTGCACTTATTCAGCATCTGGCTCATATTCGCGATCTTAACCATATTCTCAAAACTATCGTTTTCAATGTCTTCAAAAACAACATTTTGATCACTATTCACCACATCCATCATCAAATGACAGTGACACTTATATTCCATTGCATACAGTAATTGCTCTGCAGCCAGTAATTGCTCTAAAGCCATTCAAGTCAGTTACATTTTTGCCAATGATATTTTGTTTTATGCCTGTGGTAATTATGAGTGAAACATCACGTCGTCATTGTCTATGAAACAGTGACACTCTGAGGGATAAAGGTATTGTATTTATTGAGTCATCAGATATTTAATTATTGTTGTGCAGAAAAAATATATACTTACACTAGGCTATTACGGCCTACCTCCGGTCGCTAGCAACCCTATACACTTAAAAAAAAAAAAAAAAATCAGAAAACAGACCTTATTTTATACTTTTTTTTTCTTGTTAGATTGTTTAATGAATAGATTGAAGAATATTAAGAAGTTTGATGTGTAACTAAAAAATGAATGAGGGGAGGGTATAAGGTCGCTACCAAGGTAGGCTATAGGTGCGTTCGACATGCAGCGCTGCGCGGATCGATCGCAATCTGACTTGAAGCAGTGCATGCCGGTTAGTAATTTTGTCTGACTTGAGACGGCGCCGACGCCACGTCACTGTCACATGTGGCATCATAGCACCGCGAGAGCGTTTCGAGAGCAGCCGGCTGACTCAGCCGGCACAGTTTCTCCAGAGCGGCTGCAGGAGCGCTGATGCTGACACATGACACAACTATCACGTGTGTTTTGGGTTTATTCTAACATTTTCAATTCCAATAATAGCCACAAATCTGCGTTTTTAGAACAGTAAAAGCTTTTTTACTGTAGTCGCAATGTTATATTGAGTCACGTTTATCATAAAACTGATGGAAGTATTCCCCCACTTTATTAGTATTTAAATAGTATATATTTACATTGAACTTTATTTTTGAACAGATGGCGATGTATTAAGCAGTATATAATCATATCTGTTGCTCATGAAAACGTTTCTGAAACGTCTGTATATTTGACAAATATTGCACTTCATCTGTGATAGAGTATGCAAACACCACGCAAGCGTCACTAATGGGAGCAGAAAGTGTCCGGCTTGACAGCTCCGTTTTCAACTCCACCCCCTGACTGCAAGCGGCTGCTCTCGTTGACTGCCGTCTGTAGCCGTGGTTCAAGTCGAACGCACCTTATGTGTTTAAGGGATAATAAACATTGAAAAATGTTTCATTATATATTATTAAAATATTTAACATTTAAAATATTTAACATTTAATCTTTCCTGCTGTCACGGAGCAGTCCAGTGACATGACAAAGAAAGTTGATACTGATTGGTCCTTTTGTGTGCATTCAAAGTGCCGATTGGCTCACAGATAGAACCTTGTAGAACCAAGTTAGAGTTCAACTTTTTATTTATAAAACAAAAAGGTTCTATCTACAAAGTCCCAAATTTACATAATTGAATAAAACCATCACATAATGTAAATAAACTTGTCACAGAATAAGAATACGTGATTAACTTAATTTTGACAAAAATGTCAGATAGAACCTTATAATTCCAAGGCGACAATGTCCTTCAAATCTATCACTATAAACCAGTCCTTAGGTTGAATATGCACAAGGATCTATTTTACAGTTTTTTTTTTTGGAACGAGTATTTCTCTAGGGTGTTATTCAGCAGTCTCAGTTCCAGAATTGGACATAAGCTGCCGTCCTATTTGGGGACGAGGAAATAGCGGCTGTACTGCCTGCGTTTTGCTCTGACACCTCCGACATAACCACACCATTGAAAAGGGGCGAACTGCATGAACATTGCAGTGAAGAACTGGTAGAACAGCACACAAACACATACTGTATCTTTTCCCACCTCAACTGGCAAAGGGGCTTGAGGCACAACTCAAACTCTTTTTAGGTTTGCTGTTTCAGTGGTTCCTCTGCACATTAAATAAATGGCAGCCTTTTTCTCCGCACCTGGCTGTCAAGAGCTCAGCTTGGCCTCCGCTGGGCACCTGGGCGGACAGGGGCCTTGCTTAATGGGGAAACATTATTTCCTGGTGGATT